GCTTTAATGATGACGCCCGGATAAGGATGAGATGGCTGCCCAAGCTGCCCGTCCATACTCTGACACGCCGCGCGCATGTCAGAGGTGGCGCAGGACGTTGGGAGCTGTCAGAGGTGGTTATCACTATCACCCAATATATTGTCGACACGTGTCCTTCTTGCACATGGGGTAAATATTCTCCTTAGTTTCAATTAGGGGCTTTCACGCGCATCTGCAACCCACGCGCCTGTGACTAGGTCGATCACGGGCTCCTCGATCATGGGCTCCTCGAATAGGTTGCTCGATCCCGCGTCTGGTCGAACAAGGGGTTGCTCGATCCCGCGTCTGGTCGAACAAGGGGTTGCTCGATCATATATCTGGTCGAGCAATGGGTTATTCGATTACGGGATTAGTCGTGCAATGGGTTGGTCGATCGACTGCCTAGTCGACTGTTTAAATGATCGATCCTCTTGTCTCTCGTTCTGGCCTCCTCCTAACTTGGTCTTCTCGACCGGCTGAGTTGACCGGTTGGCCTTGTGTATATAATATCACATATCATCTAGTCCCCCCCCCACTCTGGTCGAGTCTGAATGACTCGACTTAAGAGTGAGTTCATGCTTATCGATCTTCTGGGTGGCCAACTGACGGGTTTCCCGCCTATTCTTTTGAATAATTCCCCACAGACGGCGCCAATAATGCAAGTGTCCGGGTCCGGTTTGGAGTAGATCGGTTCTTGTCCTCGCCGGAAGAACGCCGGAAACTTGCAAACAACTCTCACACCGGGGGTTGGGTCCGGTGAAGAGCCTCCGATACTTAAGTCAGTATGTGTATGGGTATACTGGAGTTTAGAGAATGAATAGAATGTGTTAAGGAAGAAAGGCTCATCCCCTTTTATAGGGGTGAGATACCTGCCCTAATAACTGCCCAGATAAGGATGAGCTGGCTGCCCAAGCTGCCCGTCCGTACTCTGACACGCCGCGCGCATGTCAGAGGTGGCGCAGGACGTTGGGAGCTGTCAGAGGTGGTTATCACTATCACCCAATATATTGTCGACACGTATCCTTCTTGCACATGGGG